GAGACAGAATCATAATGTTTGACACACACACTGAGAGACAGACAGACACACTGAGAGACAGACGGACAGACAGACAGACAGACAGACAGAGAGAGAGAGAGAGAGAGAGAGAGCCTGCGTGCGTGTGTGTAACTGGTTGCCATGGTGAGGACGCACCTGGTGTTAGAGGCAGACTGATTAAGAAACGTTGCAGTAATCAGTAATTTTGAACAAAACCCCTGCCTCTTTTTAACAAATTAGCAGGAGTCTGAGTGCTAAAATATGGATACCGTGAGAAAGATAAGACTCTGCCGAACATGCTGATGTGTTTTTTATGTTTGTGGTGTTAATAATGTGAGCTCCAGAGCAATAGACAAAACTGGTACCGTCTGCTTTCTTTGAGAAATTAGTGGGGAGATTTAACATGGAGTCTAATGGAGCAGTTGGTTGGAGTTCATGTCGCTCTGCGGTTCTTTGAGCCAAATGTGTAAGTCCGTTGGATTCCATAGACACTTTACTGCGACCAGCACAACATTTCCAAGCTTTTTGGCCAAAATGGTGTATAAAGAGTAAAAATTGTGGGAGCTGGAGCAATTTGTTTGGAAAAATCACAGAAGATTTTCCTGCTCCGCTCCACTCTGACAGTTATGTTCTCACTCTAGCTCTTAACGAGCCATGCAATACACACCCATTATAAAATCTGAAACAGACCCAAAATGTTCCTGAAACTTAATTTGTGACTTCATGAAAACTGTGCTAGCTATCAAAATGTCCCTTTGGCTCAATAAAATGCAGCGTTTTGTCTACGTTTTAAACTTTGAATCATGTTTCTACGTTAATGTACGGCTAGTCAATATGGGCCCAAAGTTAAGTGGTTTTTTTAGCTCTCTTCACGCCAGAACCCCATTCAAGTGAATGGAGAAATTTTGCTCAGTTTTTGGGGATTTTCGGGAATTTTCGGGAAAACCGCTGGACGAATCTCACCGAAAAATAGATAGCACACTATTCCCGATCAGGCCGCACATTTTGATGTATTTTTCACGCCGCTGTTGGCAACACTGTGTGAGGAGAAGCGCGCCAAACTTTTGGATAAACCTGATTATTATTATTATTAGTATGATTAAGCCCGATAATATACAGTGTGCTTTGGCACAGGCAGTTTTACTGCCTTTGTGCTACAACACCACACTGAATGACAATGGACAATGGATTCGGAATATTAGTGCAGAATGGTGGTAATAGTGCAAATGGAGGTAGTAGTGCAGTGTGTCTGATCAACTGTTCATCAGAGTGACAGCTGGCAGAAAGAAGCTGTTCCTGTGTCTGGTGGTTTTGGTGTACAGAGCTCTGTAGCTCCTACCAGAGGGGAGGAGTTGAACAGCTTGTGTCCAGGGTGTGAAGGGTCTGCAGTGATGTTTCAGCCCGTTTCCTGACTCTGGAGGTGAACAAGTCCAGGATGGACGGCAGGCTGGAACCAATGATCCTCTCTGCAGACCTGACAATCTGTTCCTGTCCTGTTTGGTGGCCGATCCAAACCACACAGTGATGGAGGAGCAGAGAACAGACTGGATGATGGTGGAGCAGAACAGGATCAGCAGCTCCTGAGGCAGGTTGAACTTCCTGAGCTGGAGCAGGAAGTACAACCTCTGCTGGATCTTTTTCCTGATGGTGTTGATGTTGGGAGCCCACTTCAGGTCCTGGGAGATTGTGGATCCCAGAAACTTGAAGGTCTCCACAGCAGACACCGTGCTGTTGAGTATGGTGAGGGGGGGACAGTGTTGGGGGGGCTCCTCCTGAAGTCCACTGTCATCGGCACAGTTTTGAGCCTGTTCAGCTCCAGGTTGTTCTGACCACACCAGAGGACCTGCTGTTCAACCTCCCGTCTGTACGCAGACTCATCACCGTCCCTGATGAGGCCGATGACCGTTGTGTCGTTTGCGAACTTCAGGAGTTTAACAGACGGGTCCTCTGAGGTGCAGTCGTTGGTGTAGAGGGAGAAGAGCAGTGGGGAGAGCACACATCCCTGGGGGGTCCAGTGCTGATAGTCCGGGTGCTGGATGTGATTTTTCCCAGCCTCACCTGCTGCGTGAGGCTGGGATCCACTGACAGTTTGTGATCCACTGACAGGTAGAGGCTGCACAGTGAGCCAGAGTTTGGGTTGGAGTATTGCTGGGATGATGGTGTTGAACGCAGAGCTGAAGTCCACAAACAGAACCCTTCATATGTCCCTGGGGAGTCGAGGTGTTGCAGCATGTGGTGCAGTCCCATGTTGACTGCATCATCCACCGACCTGTTTGCACGGTAGGCAAACTGCAGGGGGTCCAGCAGGGGCCCTGTGATGTCCTTCAGATGGGTCAACACCAGTCTCTCAAAGGATTTCATGACCACAGACGTCAGGGCGACGGGCCTGTAGTCATTCAATCCTGTGATGGAGGATTTCTTGGGAACCGGGATGATCGTGGAGCATTTGAAGCATGAGGGTACTTCATACAGCTCCAGTGATCGGTTGAAGATCTGTGTGAAGATGGGGGCCAGCTGGGCTAGGGTTAGGGTTTCAGGCAGGAGGGGGACACCGTCTGGGCCTGGTGCCTTCCTGATCTCCTGTGTGTGAAAGAGCCGACTCACATCCTCTTCACAGATCCTCAGTGCCGGTGGGGGGTCGGTTGGGAGAGTTGAGGAGGAGGCAGGGGGTGTAGGTGGTTGTTTGATGGTGGGGGGTGTGAGAGTGGGCTTATCAAACCTGCAGTAGAAGACATTCAATATCAGGTGTTTTTACCTGCAGCTGTGGCAGTATGGGCAGTGGGTGGACGTGATTGTGGATGACCGGCTGCCCTCCAGAGACGGGAAGCTGCTGTTCGTCCACTCGGCAGAGGGAGGAGAGTTCTGGAGCGCTCTGCTGGAGAAAGCTTACGCCAAGTAAGAAACATTATGGGATGGATGGGGATGAAATGTGTTCATCATTTAGGATGAATTATAAAAACTTTATTGATCCTCTTTTAATGTAGCGTCATCATCAGGCCAACATGTTGATGTGTTAAACACTTTGATTTATGACCAAACACCTGCAGAACTAAAGCTATTCATCAGCTGGACTCTTTAGCTAATGTTAGCATAAAACTAAGATGATGAACAATATACACCAAAACACTGATACTTCAGCTAAAATAACATATTTCATCTTTGCACCCCGGTTGTCATTTTAACTACTTTTAGTTTAGTTTATTTGTGTCTAACACTTCACTTGCATTCAGTTCCACTTATTTTCTACACTTTAACAGATATTTACAACTGTGTTAATAAGCAGGTACTTTTCAAACTCCTTTTTTAACACTTCATTTGACGCATCAGCTACTTTCAGTACTCGCACTTCAATTGATGTTTCCACTTCAGAGGACAATAAACCGTCATTTTAACTCCTATTAAAGGCAGCAGCTTAGTCTGCAGAGTCTCTTTAAATACATCCGGTGTCATGACTGGATGAAATGAATGTGTTTACTTTATATCTGTAACTTTATTATTTATTGTGACAAACACTGTAATATGGCACAACATGAGAATATTTAACCCGTCCTGTATATATTAGTATGATGCAGCCTGACCCTATGTGAAGGTTAATAATGTTCTATAACATGTAACGTAAAGAACTTCAGATTACAAATCAATCTTCAACACTTCAAGTCAACGTGAATGTGTGTGATACTGTGTTTTACAAGCTGTAAACAAGTCTGAACAAATATGTCCGGTACGCTGAAGGAGGATTAACCGAAGTCTAGAACATGAATATTCATTTATCAAACTACGGCCAAAGTTTCATGTTGGACTTGCTGCAGTCGTTCAGCTCAAATCCTCTCCCAATGCCTCCGCTCCCGTCTAACACTTCACCTCCTTTCAGTGGTTCCTCTTCATGTTTACTGACTCCAGTCAGCCTGTAGACAGCAGTAGTAGTTAAAGGAGTGAGTGTTGGAGGTGATTAGCAGCAGGGTGGAGGAAGCTTTACTCTGTAAACACTGGACTCGACTCAGCCTGGAAAACAAACAGAGCTGCAGACCGAGCTGCTGACTCAGCTCTTTATACTCAACTCCTGCTGCTCTGATTTATTCTGCCTCACATCGTGTTCCCACAGTCTGTTAATCTGTTTAGTACTGTAAACTAACTCTTTAACTATTTTGATCACCTGTAAACTAACTCTTCAACTCCTTTGATCACCTGTAAACTAACTCTTCAACTCCTTTGATCCCCTGTAAACTAACTCTTCAACTCCTTTGATCCCCTGTAAACTAACTCTTCAACTCCTTTGATCACCTGTAAACTAACTCTTTAACTATTTTGATCACCTGTAAACTAACTCTTCAACTCCTTTGATTACCTGTAAACTAACTCTTCAACTGCTTTGATCACCTGCAAACTAACTCTTTAACTATTTTGATCACCTGTAAACTCTTTTCATCACTTGTAAACTAACTCTTTTCATCACTTGTAAACTAAATCTTTAATTATTTTGATCACCTGTAAACTAACTCTTCAACTCCTTTCACTCACCTTTCATTTTATATATAGGTTTGTTTTGTTATTAGTAGTGTGATTCGGTTTGTAACTGTCTGTATCTGTTTTTATGCTTCTTAGATAATAAATCCATTTGATTTTTACTTTAATTTAACCTGCTGTTATGTTTTGGAGGCAATTGAGAGCACATGGCTGCAAGGGGGGGGGGGGGCGATTTCTCCCTGTGTCCAGAAGTTATGGCCCTAACACTACCACTTAAAGAACATCAACTATGACTCCCGTACTAAACATGTGAAGTACCTGTTAGCACTGACTCGTTGTGACTCAGCAGGTTTTTAGGTGTTATTTTGTCCAGCCAGTTAACCGTCCCGTACCTCCTGCAGGGTGAACAGCTCGTACGAGGCCCTGAGCGGAGGTTCGAGCATTGAAGGCTTCGAGGATTTCACTGGAGGGATCTCTGAGAGCTACGACCTGAAGAAAGCTCCGCCCTTCCTGTTCAACGTCGTGAGGAAAGCTCTGAAGCTCGGCTCGCTGCTCGGCTGCTCCATCGATGTAAGCTACAGCTGAGCTATGTGTCAGCTAACGCTTTAGCTCGTTTAGCTAGCGAGCTACGTGTATACGTTTATATCATATTTACGTGTTTCTCAGATTTCCAGCTCATATGAGACGGAGGCCATCACCGGTCAGAAGCTGGTCAAAGGTCACGCCTACTCCATCACTGCAGCACAGCAGGTGAGGCATTCTGGGAAAATATTGTGTTGTTTACAGGAACAGGAAGAAGCTGCTGGATGAAAGTTAAGGCTGCTTAAAAAATGTACCGAAGCACCTGAACATAGTGTCTCTTGAGAAGAGAAGGTGAAGGTCTCCAGCTGTAAGAAGACCTGAAGGTCTCCAGCTGTGAGAAGACCTGAAGGTCTCCCGCTGCGAGGTCTGAACCAGCAGAAGGGGGGCTCTGCTGGACCAGCTTCCTCCCTGATGATACGTTTGACCTGCAGGTTCTTCACTATGGTTCTCAAGTGCAGCTGCTGAGGATGAGGAACCCCTGGGGTCAGGTGGAGTGGACCGGAGCCTGGAGTGACACGTGAGTCCAGGTCGTGATACTGGTCTGTCTGTCTGTCTCTCTGTCTCTCTCTCTCCGTCTGTCTGTCTCACAGCCTGTCTGTCTTTCTGTCTCTAGGTCAAAGGAGTGGGACGGAGTTGATCCTGAAGAGAAGAAGAAGCTCGATCATTCTGCTGATGACGGAGAGTTCTGGTGATTAATGTGATCAGTATCAATAAAAACTGTACTTTTTCTTTGATACTTGAAATACATTTGGTTGATAATACTTATTACTCCTCCTCCTCTCTCCTCCCCTTTCCTCCTCCTCTCACCTCTCTCCTCTCTCCTCCTCCTCTCTCTTCCTCCTGCTCTCTCCTCCTCCTCTTACCTCTCTCCTCTTCCTCCTCCTCCAGGATGTCGTACACAGACTTCCTGCATCAGTTTTCCCGCCTCGACATCTGTAATCTGACACCAGACACTCTGAGCAGCGACGTGATTGGTCGATGGAACTTCTCTGAGTTTGAGGGCGACTGGAGGGTCGGCTCCACCGCCGGAGGCTGCAGGAACTACCCAGGTACCGCCCAGGATTCATCCGTGTCCATCTCACTGAGTGACGCTGTCAGTAACTCGGTTCTCACTTCAACTTCTTTCAGCTCTGACACTTATGCTTTATTTCTCTCTGCAGCCACATTTTGTTCCAACTCTCAGTTCTTCATCAGTCTGGACGACGAAGACGACGAGCCGGACGACGGAGAGAACGGCTGCACCGTCATCATCGGTCTGATGCAGAGAGATGCTCGCAGGGAGAAACGCTTCGGAAGAGACCTGAACACCATCGGGTTCTCCATCTACCAGGTGAGGATTGAAGAATGAGGGGCGAGGGTTTAGGGACGAGGTGGAGGCGCGAGGGTGGAGGAGCGAGGGTTGAGGGACGAGGAGCAAGGGGTGAGGGACGAGGGTGGAGGGGCGAGGGTGGAGGGGCGAGGGGCGAGGGGCAAGTGTGGAGGGGCGAGGGTTGAGGAGCGAGGGACGAGGAGCGAGGGTGGAGGGTTGAGGGACGAGGAGCGAGGGGGGAGGGGGGAGGGTATATATATATCTGTAATATTTGTCTGTTTTTTGTGTTTTTCTTCCAGGTTCCTGATGAGGTGAGTTCAGATTCTTCACGATAATATAAATTAAATACAATTAACTAATTATTATGAACATATTTTATATTGTTATTAATTATAATATTGTTAAATGTTGAGGATCAAAGTAAAAATATCTTCTACAAACACCAGCTGCTCATTAAATTTTTGTTTTTACATGTTTCACTTCTTTGTTCTAACTCGCTGCAGAGAGACGATCCATCAATGTTTATTATTTGGGGAAAGTAACAAAGTACATTTACTACAATCTTGAAGTACTTGTACTTCCATTTTTTCTCCTTTACACTTTTACTTCAGTACACGTTTACTTTTCAGATTGACAGTTTATTGATGTATTGATGTATTATTATTGTTTTTTGTTGGGAGGAGGTTTCAAATACAGAAGATAAATATCTGAGATCTCTCCAGAAGACAAACTGTCTTGAGCGGATTTCTTACGAATTGAACTAATTATTTAAATGAATGTGTTACTAATTAATTAAATAAATAAATATACTGTAACTGAGATATAACTGCTGTTATCCTCTTCTCCTCCGGTCAGTTTAAAGGTCGCAGTGACGTCCACCTGGGTCCGGACATCCTGCTGAGGAGGAACGCTGTCGCTCGCAGTCAGAACTTCATCAACCTCAGAGAAGTGTGCGACCGCTTCAAGCTGCCGCCGGGAGATTACGTCATCATCCCCTCTACCTTTGACCCACACCGCAAAGGAAGCTTCATCCTGAGGGTGTTCACAGAGAAACAGGCCCACACCAGGTCCGTCACATATACATATATATATATATATATATATATATATATATATATATATCTATATTAGGGCTGGGCAAGTTAACGCGTTATCTATAATATGTATAATAGGCATATCATTTAGTTATCGCTACTGAGAATTTAACAAACATAAAAACATGACGTAGATAGGTTTGCAGTTTTCAAGATGTATATTTAAATATCATCTCTTACACACATGAAGATAAAGTTGTGAACACCGGCTGAATATCTATGATCAGGATCATTATAACTGTGTTATAACTGCTACTGTGTAAAGGGAATACTGCTGCTAACAACAACCTGATGTGTTTAAAGTGTTTACAAACCAAATGTTATTGACCTTGTGTTCATATAGCAGTACTGTTAAAATAAAAGTGCACAATACACTACTTTTGAATTCATTATTGAACTTTTCCATAACAATGCATTTAAATTGTAATCGTTGCCCAGCACTAATATATATATGTATATGTATGTATATGTATTTATCTTTTCTGTTTGTTTCAGTCCGATGGAAGAAAACGTAAATGCTGACATTCAAGAGGTTTGTGACATTTGTTTCATCAGATTTCAAGCTTTAGATCATTTTAAAATGTATCAAACTTTGAGTGTTTAAAACAAACAAGATGATGACTCATAAGAAGAGATAACTTGTTAGACAAGACGATACCTCGTTAAAACCAGACAATATCTCCTTAAAAGAACATAATAACTCGTTAAAACAACATAACTCGTTAAAACAACCTAATAACTCGTTAAACAACCTAATAACTTGTCAAACAACCTAATAACTCGTTAAAACAACATAATGACTCGTTAAAACAACAATGACTCGTTAAAACAACATGATACCTCGTGTCGTATTTTAAGATACAGGACATAAAGTATTAGTTAAAATAATGTTCACACATTGTTCTAAATCTTTTGTTCTTTCAGCCTGATGTCGGACAGAAAGACGTGGATCCTCACTTCAAACATCTCTTCGTCCAGATCTCTGGAAACGTAACAACTTCTTGTTTCTTAAATGAACAACTTCGCTTCCTGTCGGCCATCATGTCAGAACAATGATGTCAGAACAATGATGTCAGAACAATGTTTGATTTATTTCTGTTTCAACAGGACTCTGAAATCTCCGCCTTCGAGCTCCAACAGATTTTGGACAAAGTTGTTGCTCAGAGTAAGAAATGTTTAATATTAATATATATATAATATATAATATTATTAATAATTTATGAACAGGTGAACTGTTCCTGGATTTGTTTATGTATGAACTTCGTCTTTGTCTGAAGGATCTGATGTCAGAACCGATGGCTTCAGTCTGCAGACCTGCCGTGACATCATCAGCCTGCTGGACGTATCCTTCAGATGTTCACTGATCAATAATCAACACTACTCACTGATCAATAATCAACACTACTCACTGATCAATAATCAACACTACTCGCTGATCAATAATCAACACTACTCACTGATCAATAATCAACACTACTCACTGATCAATAATCAACACTACTCGCTGATCAATAATCAATACTATTCGCTGATCAATAACCAACACTACTCGATCAATAATCAACACTACTCGCTGATCAATAATCAACACTACTCTGATCAATAATCAATACTACTCGCTGATCAATAATCAACACTACTCTGATCAATAATCAACACTACTCGCTGATCAATAATCAACACTACTCTGATCAATAATCAACACTACTCACTGATCAATAATCAACACTACTCGATCAATAATCAATACTATTCGCTGATCAATAACCAATACAATTCGCTGATCAATAACCAACACTACTCGATCAATAATCAATACGACTCGCTGATCAATCATCAACACTACTCGCTGATCAATCATCAACACTACTCGCTAATCAATCATCAACACTATTCGCTGATCAATCGTCAACACTATTCGCTGATCAATCGTCCACACTATGCGCTGATCAATCATCCACACTATGCGCTGATCAATCATCCACACTATGCGCTGATCAATCATCCACACTATGCGCTGCTCAATCATCCACACTATGCGCTGCTCAATCATCCACACTATGCGCTGATCAATCATCCACACTATGCGCTGATCAATCATCCACACTACGCGCTGATCAATCATCCACACTACTTTGTTAACTGATTAATCAATAAGGCGTTTCAGAAACTCGCCTGCTTCATTTGAACCTTTCTTTTGAGATGTTTAGATCAATTGATCAGCAATCAGCAGGTTCATTGATCATGATAATATAATTATTGATCTCTGGAGGACTTTACTGATGTTTTTTAACATTTCTTCTTCTATACTTTAAATGTTGAAATGTAGAAAATCTAAAATGAGAGTTTAAGATTTCTGAGTGAAAAATATAAAACACAGACAGACAGACAGAGACAGGCAGGCAGAGGATCTTTAACTACTGGTCTCCAGATAGACGGCAGCACTAAACTGGGTCTGCTGGAGTTTCACCGTCTGTGGAAGAAGATCCAGAAATACCTGGTGAGACATTCCGGATGATGTCATACTGTGATGTCATGATTCAGTCTATTGTGATGTCATGATTCAGTCTACTGTGATGTCATGATTCAGTCTGTTGTGATGTCATGATTCAGTCTGTTGTGATGTCATGATTCAGTCTACTGTGATGTCATCATAAACACATTTCTCTTCTGTAGGAGATCTTCAAGAGTCACGACTCTGACGGTTCTGGTACGATGAGCAGTCATGAGATGAGAGCCGCTCTCAATGAAGCTGGTGAGGTTCATTAAGGGGGTCAAACATACGGTCAGAGGGCCACAACCGGCCACATAAAGAGTCCAATGGGACATTCAGACTCATAACTTCACTGGATGGTTCCATCTCACGTGTTCTACAGGATTCATTGGTTCTAAAAGAAGTTTGTATGTGTTAATGTGTGTGTTGGTGTGTGTGTGTACGTATTTGTTCAGGGTTCCAGGTAAACAGCTCTTTGATCCATCAGATCGTCGTCAGATTCTCTGATCAAAGTTTCTCCGTTGACTTTGACTGTTTCATCGGATGTTTGATCCGACTGGAGCTTCTGTTCAGTGAGTCATCGACAACTTACTATTTCTGGAGCTTTCTAGCACATCCACTGTCTTCATCAGCAGTGTTCCTAGTGTTCCTAGTGTCCCCAGTGTTCTCAGTGTTCCCAGTGTCCCTAGTGTTTCCAGTGTTCCTAGTGTTTCCAGTGTTCCTACTGTCCCTAGTGTTTCCAGTGTTCCTAGTGTCCCCAATGTTTCTAGTATTCCCAGTGTTCACAGTGTCCCCAGTGTTCTGAGTGTTTCCGGTGTTGCCAGTGTTCCCAGTGTTTCCAGGGTCCCTAGTGTTTCCAGTGTCCCTAGTGTTCCCAGTGTTCCAAGTGTCCCCAGTATTCCTAGTATCCCCAGTGTTCCTAGTGTCCCCAGTGTTCCTTGTGTACTTAGAGTTCCGAGTGTCCCCAGTGTTCCTAGTGTCCCCTGTGTCCCCAGTGTTCCTAGTTTCCCCAATGTTCCCTGTGTCCCTAGTGTCCCCAGTGTTCCTAGTGTCCCCGGTGTTCCCAGTGTTCCTAGTGTTCACAGTGTCCCTAGTGTCCCCAGTGTTTCCAGGGTCCCCAGTGTTTCCAGTCTTCCCAGTGTCCCCAGTGTTCTAAGTGTTTCCGGTGTTGCCAGTGTCTCTAGTGTTCACAGTGTCCCCAGTGTTCTGAGTGTTTCCAGTGTTTCCAGTGTCTCCAGTATTTCCAGTGTCCCCAGTGTTTCCAGTACCGAGGTGACACAGCATTTCTCTGTTTCTTTCACAGAGATGTTCAGAACTCTGGACAAGAAGAACCAGGGGAAGATCGAGCTGGACCTGCAGCAGGTAAAGTTCCAGTCCTGTACTGGTCTGACCCCCTACTGGCACCAGCTGCTCTCTTATTGGTCCAGCCTGTTGTCACATGTCATCCTCATCCTCATTAACTCTTCATCTCCTCATGCAGTGGGTCTGCCTCGCCATCAACTGACCACCGGCCACTCCAGGAGCATGCTGGGAGATTTCCATCTGTGGAGATTAAAGCTGATGAACAGCTGTTGTTGTTTAAATAAAAACTGTTGTGGTTCATCTTCATCATCAGAAACAGGAAGTCTGTTTATTGTGTTCAATCTGTGAAAACTTTATTCATCAGTGTGGTTCTTTATGTCATGGACTCTGTTCTCCTTCCAGTGTTCCATCAGTTTGGTTCTTTATATCATGGACTCTGTTCTCCCT